CACTTTGCAAATAGCTCTGAGGCTTTCCTTCAAAGTTCAGAGCTCTAGTTATGCATATTGTGTGAGGTACACCATGCAGCTCACCTCCAGACTTTGTTGTGCTGAATAGATGGCTATGATAAATCATGCAGATTTGGCATTGAAGGGCATCAGCCATCAAGGGTTTGACTACTATGTCTTTTTGTCCCCAGAGATTAGATCTCCTTGAACTGCCTGCCCTGGGCTACTAGTTCTGGAGAAAATTAAAAAGTGGAAAAAATGCTAGGAGAGGCCAGTACAGAAAATCTATACAGGCTCAGTTCTCTGGAAACCCATTAACACCAGTCACAAGACTGGCAAAGAAAACATTGGTCGTTGTTTAAAAGTCAGGCCAAGTCATTTTACGCAAGATCTGGTAATTCATTAATCAATCTGGCTGCAAACCTTGAATGAATAACCTGAAATAGTAAAAGAGACTGGCAGCATCACAGAATGTAAGAGACTCTACAACACGAACCATGCAATTACCCCGGTGACGTTTAGGGCTCCCCTCCATAATCCTCATCCTCCTGATGCAAACCCTTCCAAATAAGAAATCATTAATCCCTATGAATTTTCCTGCTCCCGGAACTAAGAGAGTATGAATCGTTCTCTCCTCATATTCTCACTGCTTATAAAGCAGCATTTTTGGCAGCCTAGAATAAAATATAGTAGCCAATTCACTCTTTCAAAAAAACATGGCCCTGAAAAGTAACCTGGGCTACACCTATGCAAAACAACTAAAAATAAAGTCATCAAATATGTTGAGCATTTCTCTGGAGCACAGAATTATGTAAACAACAAATCCATAGATAGGCCAGCAACTGTGGTTTTCTGAAGTCTTCTGAAAGGCTAAAAGTGTGCTTTTTTCAAATATGAGAATAGCACAGTTACAGATATTTTACACAAGTTCATTATACTTTAATAGGCAATTTTCTATCTTTAGAAGAGGTTATAGGTTGCATTTTCTCTTTACCTCAATTGAGCTATTTGTAAGTAATGCCAACAAAGAGATATATCCACTGTGCAGATACCTTATCTTTCCAAAATGTTAGACGTGGGTCATAAATAATTTTAAATATGACTAACCTTCTCTGATAGAATATGGTACATTCAAAGAAGCCTCAGGGGACAAACTCTTTCCATTCACGTTACATCAAGTTCTACAGCTCACATAGCACCAACTTGAAGAAAGGAAACCTAACCATTTTGATTTTCTAACATAAGCTGAATCGATTTGTCACAAACACAATTTTTTAAGGGCTGGTTCTTTGCAAAAACAAATAAAGAAGGTGAACGAAGCAGTGAAACGTCCACATAACTGATCTTGGGTGACTTGTTAATTATATAGTTCCACAAACTCGTGACAGTAGAGAGTGGCCTTAGGGGAATGAACCCCTTCATTCTGTATTTCCATACTCAGAATAAGAGTCAAACAAAAATAGGTGAGAAACTGAAGTTACAAATCTGTGAACAGAAAGAAATCAACTAATTGATAATATGCACATACACAGACACAGGTAAGAACCAGTGTGTTGGGGCAAACAGGACAGGTTGGGTTCAGGATCCTGCACAGTCATGTGAGCAGAATAAGGCAGCAATGAGCGAGCCACTTCTGCAAGATATGTCAGTGTGCTTCAGTGCTGGACTGAAGGCCAATATCTCACCACACCTAGGCAGATGTGGGCAGGGACTTATACTCAACAGTTACATGCTATCTAGACTAATTGGAGCTTTATCTCGTTTGGCTCCTAGCTGCTACCATAACTATTAATAATTTCTCATCCATGAGACTTGAGTGCTAGTGGAGTTATCTAGGTTTGTTGGCGCTCAGTTCAAGCAAGCTTCTAGGAACATGAGTTGCAGAATGCCTGAAAACTCAAAATGCTAAAATATAGCATTTCTTAAAATATTTACCAAAAAAAAAAAAAGTGTACCATCTTGAGTGTGATTTTTGAACATAGGCCCTCACCCAGACAAAAGTGTACTACATTCATAACTTAAAGGAGAGTGTGCTTCATTCAAGGTTAGGTTTTGCAATTAACACTGCATGGCTTGTTCAATTAACACTGTACTTGTGATTCCCGACATTATTCACCATTCTACTTCTTTCCCTTGCAGTCCAAAGAAATTGCATTTCTATTTTCAAATGACTAGGCCTCATCTGGAAGCCTAAGTTAAATAAAACTTATTATTCCCACAATGATATGAGAGTTTTTTGATTTTTTTTTTTTTAAATTTTAAAGTTATTTATGATAATTTCTTCAGAAAGAAAAGCCAGTGTGGATCGATATGGAAAAATCCAGAGATTACCAAATGGGAAACTTTAGTTCTCTGATTTAAAACAAATAGTTCCTTACAGAGTATCTGAGATAACCTCTGGAGAAAGAACACATCTTGTTCTGTTCTTGAGCACCCCCAGTCGTCACATTACAGAGCAGCAGAGAGAAGAAATAGTGCTATGTACCCAGCTGCACAATGGAGAATAGGGACAGGGTTAATGCATGGGAGGAGAAAATAACTGTTTCATTACCATCTTCCTGGGCCAAGCAACAAATAAATAGCAGTACAGCACCACGAAACTGAAAACTCTTGCCCTAGCACTGCAGTATTGCAAAATGCTATTAGAGAACAATTTGTCCTTGCAGTAAGGTAAGCAGGGATCAAACTGTGCTGTCAGAGACAGTGAGGCATCCTATAACCGAAGTTTGTGGGTGCAAGGAAAGCCAGGAACTAATGGAGAGGACAACAGAATTCACCAGTTAGGAAAGAAGTTACATATTTCATTTCCAAATCATTGCTCCCGGCCTACCAGTTGCTGCCTAGATGCATCCCCTCCAGCTGCATGCCACCTATTTCTTCACATTCGGGCTGTCATCTTCAAGATGCACCCAGACCAGTGAGGTTCCTGAAAAGACCAGTACCTCCTTGCCATCACATTCCAATGAGGTTAGGTACCAGCCTGGATGCTCATCTCACTGCCTGTGACATGCTTTGATTTTCAGAACTGGAACTGTCTCAGTTAGGGAGAGATATTTACTATCCAAGTAATACAGACAAATCATCACTATATAAACAAGACAATTTTGTATGTGGTGGCTTTGGCCACCACTGCAGACAATGCAGTGCACCACACGACCAGGTAGAAGCCTGTGGTCAAGTTCCAGCGTTTCTACTGGAACAGTCTGTATGCTTCAAGACGATGGATGCTTTATTATATTACTTATCAGGAACTCAAATTTTGACAGTCTATCTTTCCCTGATTCTTCCAAAAGAAAAATGCCTCTGCATTTGGCTTTTGATGAATGAGGAAAAATACATATCCTCAGTTACAACAAAAGCAGATCCTCTCCATGCAGCGCTGATTCTGTTCTCAGCTGAAAGTGTGTCACCCGTCCTGCTGCCAGCCTGCTACTGACCACCAAAAACTGACACGCGTCAAGCTATAATTCATGTGGGGGTACCACTGAGATTCAAGAACACAGCATCTTTTTGAAGTTTCATAAACTGTGATGTGGAACATTATAAAACTAATGAACAGAGGGGGTCAAAGCATTTTGGTTTGAATAAAATTATTTACAAACCATTTTGGTGTGAACTGTAGGAAGATTGAATACAGACGGCCAGCTCCTATCATCAGCTACATTGATAAGTATAAATCCAAAGTAACCTTATCAGCACCAGGGAGGTCACCATGGGTTTATAACTGTATACAAAAAAGAAGAATTTCATTCAGGACATCCTAGGCAAGCTATATTTTACATTCAGAAGCATTTTACTACACTGTGGCAGTTAATCTTTTCCAGCTATTAAGCTGCAGAGTGATCATCTGGGGCTTCCCCCAGCAAATGGGGCTGGCTGGACTTCCTGGGTCAGCCATGGGAAAGGTGGCCCCAGCCCCTTACTGCTGCATAAGGTCTTTCTGCCAGCTAATCAGTTTATTGCCCAATTTCCCAGCCTGTGTACGATCTGCTACATTTTTATCATTGAGAGAAGGTGGCTAAAGGGTCTGGGAGGACCAGCAGTCCCATTGTTATGGGGTGGCGAATCATGAAGGTTTGACACAGTGAAAGAAAGAAGACTGGAGACAGAGATAAAGAGACTGCAACCTCTTCCTGCACACCCTGAACCCCAAGGCAATATTTTAAAGAAGACATTTAAATCTGTCCTTCAGCTTTAAGACTACTTTCCACCAGGAGAATTGCGAAACATCCCACACCATCAGCAACTATCAGCCCTCTCAGCTTTGTCTGTCATATCTACCCATTTCCTTTCCCCCACTCAATCCAAGAGGACCTTTTCATTTGTATGCAAAATATCTTGCACTGCAATGCTACAAGTGGGAATTTTTGATGCAGTGAAGACCTTCAGGAATCACAGAATCATAGAATAGCTTGGTTTGGAAAGGACCTTAAAGATCACCTGGCTCCAACCTCACTACCATGGGCAGGGCTGCCACCCACCAGACTAAGCTGCCCAGGGCCCACCAAACCTGGCCTTCTATGGATGGGGCATCCACAACTTCTCTGAGCAGCCTGTGCCAGTGTCCACCACAGGAAACAGGCACTGGCCCCAGCTCTCCATCAGCCAACAGCTGCCTGCACTCTGCTCCTTTCCAGGGAGTGCAAGAGGAAAACAGCAAACAGGTTTCAACTTTTGTTTTTCCTCACCACTGACAATTGTGCAACTCCTCCTTGTTACGCCACAGTGCTGTGTACTTTAGGCACTCTTCATCCATTTCCTTTCAAAAATCAAAACTTCCATTTAATTCTTTTCAAGGTTGTTTTCCCCCCCTCTCCAGATCACAGGCCTGCTTTTGATCATGAGGATTAAAGGCACCAGGCGGAACCTGTAACGCACATCACCACGTTTGCTGTTTCTTAATGAGGGAAAGATAGTAAAACCACTGCCCACCAGGCTAAAGAAAAAAAAAAACAAAACACAACCAAAAACATGGATTCACTAAAATCGCCTTCCCTTACCTCAAAGATGTTGGCAGGCTCATTGCTGTACTGGCTGGAGATGACCTCAGACTGGTCGCTGTACCACTTGAGCCCCCCCAGGAAGCTGTCTGCATCCAGGTCGTTCACATCTAGTTCGGAGAGGTCAAGTTCTGGGAGGTCTGGGCAGAGAGGCTGGTCTTCACCAACCAGAGCAGCACACTGCAGGAAACAGCAATGTAGAAACAGTTTCATTAATTGCCAGGAATCTATTAACTTTAATATCATGTGATAAGAATTAAGCCTCGATTAAGCTATAGCACAGGGTCACCAGAATTGTTTTCTGGAATTAAAAAACCACACTAACTATTAGATCTTTTTTAACACTGGACAGTTATGCAAAGAGGAGGGGGAAATAGGAGGGCATAATCCGTAATAGGAAGGCACAAGCTGCCTTCTCTATCATGTCTCTGTACAGGAACAGTGAATTTCCTTTTCCCTGTAGCCTTTGACAACAATAGCATCCAAAGGTTTATAAAATCCAACAGCAGAAGCCAAAGCGCGACCTTATTCTGCTGCTGCTTCAAAGCAAACCAGTGAAGGTAGAAGTTACAGATGAATACCTCTGGGCAAGGTCTTTCCTGCATTTCCTGATGCATTCAGGTTATGGAGGCACAGCCTGTTACAGCCTTCAGCCCTGGAGCTAGCTCAAGCTGGAGATGCTCGCACTTTTGCTCTTCCAGATTCTTACCACAGTCCTCGAGGTGAGATATGATGGTGGTTGCCATATGGACAGAACAAAGCATGGAGTAGGGATTCTGCTATGTCATGTCCTCAGTGCCTAAACGGTGGGCAGATCTCAGCTACCCAGTTACAAAGCAGGGGCCTGGCTGGTGGGATGTGTTCTGAACATCCCTGTGCTCGCCTCTGGGTGACAGGGGCAGTCAAGTATTGCCCCAGGCCAGGACCTCCCATCCAGCCCCTAGCTGTCCCACCCTGATGGTGGCTGTGTTGAAGGACCAGAGGGTTCTTTGTTGCTTTTTTTTTTCCTCCAGCAGCCCCATAGCAGTCTGCTGCTGACTCAGCAATGCCAATGGAGAAGACCTGTGGAACACTTTGCTTTCTGTAGGGAACAAAAATCTCTTCAGCAGAGCAACATGTTTTTGCCTTCATGACTTGTGAACAGTGCAGTGATAAATAAAAATAAACTTGGAATAAGTATCCTTTTGTATGCTAGTATGAAGCTAGATAGAGTATTGACTGACCTACTAAGCAAGAAAAAAATTAATATCACACAGCCACTTTAGCATAGCAATTGAAATGTTAGAGTATCCATCAAACCCAATCCTTAATTATGGAAAACATGTAGGAACAGCTTGGCAAACAGTGGAGCCCCATATGTCAATGCCATTCGATAAAGCAATGCCTGCTGCACTGTACCATGCACCTTTAGAACCCACCTCCAGACTTCCACATTGACATGGAGATCCCACAAAACACCCCGCCACCCTTTACAGCTGATAGGCACTGAATGGTTAAAAGCTATAAGTTCAGCTGAGCCTAAATGCTTCCACAACAAGCACTTCACAAAATCACAGAACCATGGAATGGTTTGGCTTGGAAGGGACTTTAACGAACATCCAGTTCCAATGCCCTGCTGTGGGCACAGTTGCCACCCACCCTGCCTGCCCAGGGTCCAGCCAACCTGGCCTTGAACACCTCCAGAGATCTCTGGGCAGCCTGAATAAAAACATTCTGAATAAAAAATTTCTTCCCAATACTTAACCTAAATCTCCCCTCTTTTAGTTTAAATCTGTTCTCCCTTATTCTGTCACTACCAGAACATGTAAAAAGTCAGTCTCCCTCCTGTATGTAAGTTTTCTTTAACGGTGTCTCTCCAGAGCTTTCTCTTCTTCAGGTTGAACAAGCCCAACTCCCCCAACTTCTCTTCATAGGAGAGCTGCTCCAGCCCTTTGATCATCTTCATGCCTCCTCCGGACCCACTCCAACAGCTCCACATCTTCCTTGCTCTGGGGGCCCACTCACCGGGTGCTAAGGGATATCTTGAGTACACCCAGCCGGCAGGCTGTCCTCTGCTATCATCAGCTGCCTGGGTGCTTCGAACAATATCCCAACTTTGGATTGAAGTCAACTCAGAAAATACCACTTTCTGGAGAGAGCAGTCTGAGCGCAATAACATCGTGTCCATTGCTGGGAATTGCTCAATATTCGTTATGCCCCTCTCCAAAGGACCGCCTTTCACAGCACGCGAGCGGGAGCTTCTGAAGGAGCATCTCATTGAGGGTTTGGCCTCCAGGAGGCCCGGCGGCTGGCAGCAGCGTGGCCACAAGCAGGGCTCCTGTGCTGGCACAAGAGCCAGTGCAGCTGTGCAGGCTGTAATTCAGCGATCAACTTCTATGTGTAGCAGGACGCTGAGCGATAACCACATAGCAGGCCGAGGGGTGAAGAACAAGGAGGCTGCAAAACAAGGCTCTGAAATAACATTTGCTTCTATTTCTGCTATTTAAGGAGCTGCAGAACTTCAAGAAGTCAAAATCTCACTTAGGTCACTGTCAATGCACATCTTATTATTATTGTTATTTTGGACACAGAAGAAAACAAATTGAAAAGGAGTAGTTCCCTCTTCTTTAGTGCTAGACATCATCTTCTAGCAGCAAGCTTATAACGTGGATAGGACCTTTTTGAAACTTGGCCAAAATCTCCAGTTTCATTACAAGATAATCTAGTTTTTGACCGAACAGGTAGATTCTCAGCATCACTCACGTCTGTGTTGTGGGGGGCAGTAGTTTGTATCTGATGCCGCAGACTTGTAAAGTATCCTGCTGATCTGCTTATGCTTTCATTTGTAAAAATAGCTTCACTCTGCGAACTACCCACTTAAACGTTATTTCTCAGTTACGTGTATTTTTAAGTTCTTACCATGGGTTTTTCAAGCAACATAAACAACTGTATTAAAAAAATTCTGCTCATCACAGCTTTCATTTGCCTATAATGACTGCAATGTCACTTAAAAAATGCAATTGCTGAAATGAAGTATATATGCTCTCGCCAATGTTGACATGATAATAAAATCAATGTTTCTGAATATGACATTATGTTTCTAATCTGAGACACATTAGCAGCAAGTGTTCCTGTTATTAATTTATATTTGGCCTTCGGATGATGCCAGATTTAACGCTCCAAGTCCTAAAACTGTCCTTATCTGACATGCTGATATTTACTGTTTGCTATACATCTGTAACAGGTGCACCTGCATCACCAGAACGCAACCTACTGTATTCCCACTGTTACTGGATACTAGAGGTATTCTGTAACCACAGACTTAATTTCAGAGCAACATTTAGGAGGATAAAGCAGTCACTAAACACAAAAGGCTAACTACTGTGCGTTATTTCACTCCAACCGACTTTTTTCCCTCTTAGTTCAGACGCAAACAATAAATTAGCTTAACTGCACTAATGATAATGAATCATTATAATTAAGTATAATTCCCCATTAACCTTTTGGACTTTTTTTTTTTTTTTTTTTCCGCGGGGGGGGGGGGGGCTTTGAAGGTAAATAAAAAAAGAAGAAAGAAAAAGAAAAAAAAAAAAGACTGGATTTGTGCCATATTAATTTTATATTAATGAAAAAATAATCTCCGTTTTATTTTAACAAGTTTTTCAAAGAGCCGAGGGGGTGAACCCAGCAAAGGAAGACTGACTCGCTACAAGGCGTGTCATGTGGGCTCTCTCTATCAATCCTTGCAACCTTACTGTACATCACCTTCATTAAACTGTGGAACACTGGGGACGCCGATCAGCAACGGCGATGCAGGCCTTTATTAAGCAGCGCGCCGTCCTGTCATTATGGGAGTGAGAATCTAATACATTTTAAGTTGACAGCAAACATTAATGATTCAAAAAATGAAGGCAGCCTCCGGTACCTGCTGCCTGCAATCTGTGAGACCGGTAAAGGTGATCCCCAGAGCCAGCACAGCAGGCAGCACTGCTCCGCTGCTCCAGGAAGTGCCGTGCAGGAGCACGTTGCTAAAATCCTACCAACAGTTAACCCAGCACTACACCATTAATATTAAGATCAAATCTTTTCTTTTTTTTTTCTTCTCTCTGCACTATGAAGAAGTCATTGATATATATTATCCATTCTGTTACTAGCTTGAAATTACTGCAGGAACTCTAGTGATTAAAATAAATCTTCAATATTTCCATGTAAGCTGGTTCCCCAATCAGCTCCTTGCAGCATTAGGAATAATACATGATGGAAAAATGAAGCTCCAGCAGCTGAGACCCACGCTACAAGCCAGACAACAACCCACAGGATACTCCAGCTACTCAGAAACAATTAGGACTCTGGAGCCAGAAAGTCATCCACTTACAGCCCAGACTTGTAATAGCTACAGGACATATGAATTATCCATATCTATTCCACTTCACCAAGAAATCAAAACAAGATAAGAGCAATTACAGTATGCAAACAGAAATCAGTGGATACAATGGCAAGCTGCAAATATTTAAAACACGACAAAAAGACTTAAGAACCCGCCTGCACGCTCTGCCAGATTGGAAAAACACACAAGGAGAATGCTGTAACATTTTTACTTCAGATGGGTATCTGCCTGGCGTGGACATCTTATTTAAAAGGCACTGCACAGAACCTGTTTCTCCCTCCCCTGCTGCCCAGGGGGAGCATTACCAGCACTTATCCACTCGCAGCGGCGGGTCGGCTCCTCCAGCAGCTCTGGGTTTTGCCTTCCTCTCAACGGGGTCCACACAAAGTTTGCCTCGCTTCCCAAGTTGCCCAAACTTCCAGGTAAGGCTCCGTTCTGCCCAACACAACCATGCAGAAATCCTCACACCTCACTTCATCCTTCAGAGATTACCAGGGAGCTGCTTGCTTTTTGCTTTTCTTTTTTCCCTTTATGAATTGTAGCCAGCAGAAGCTGTGGGTTTGATGTATTGCCGTCTATTTTTACACAAGCGGCAGCGGCGGCAGCAGCAGCAGCAGTTCACACAGTCCTGCATAAACTCTATTCTCATGGTTCATCCTGTTGTCTCTGCCGTACAGTGGGATTTAACCATTTGCTCGACTGCTTGTGCGGACTGAGCGCCCTGCCCTACAGGGCACAGCTACAGGGTGATTATTCCAACACCACGAGAAGCAGGAAAACAGCTACTTCCAGAAATCCCTTTTAAAAGCATCTAAAGCAAAACACCGGGGTGTTCATTCCCGTGTGGGGGTTTGAATCCTGCAGCTGATAAACAATGTGGAAACCTTCAACAGAGCAGAGTGAAACAAGCAAGGAAAATAGGAAGCCACTGGTTAATTTTAATTACTACATCTCTTTTTTCTCTTTTTTTTTTTTTTTTTTTTTTTCCCCTTTTTGTAGAAAAAAGAAACATTGATCTTATTCTAAACAAACATGGCATTTTTCCAACCAGGCCACTGAATGCCACTGAAAAGACTTCAGACACTGATTCATATCAATATCTTAGAGCATAAATATTGCATATGACGGGGAAAGCGAGCCAGAGGCACATGAAAATAGTTTCCAACTGCAGGAGATACCGATGACAGGAGCTAAGCTTTGATTTGCTCAAGGCATCGCAGAGTAACCTTAAAATAGCAAACTTAGTGGAGTTCAGATAAGATCCAGACTTGTTTGCAAAGTGCGCCCACAGCCCCTCTCCCACACCCTGCTCACCTCGATGTCACTCCATACAGAGTCCTGGTTGCACATGTCCCACGCCATCCAGCTCCCGAACCGCAGCAGTGCCACTCGTGAGGCGCAATCCAGAGCCGGGCAGGGAGCACACACGCATGCAGCAACGAGACCCTTTCTGAGAGTGAACTGAAGGCACCTGTCTTACTACTGGTCCCCGTCACATGACAAAGCTATTAAAAAGTAGGCTGGGCTGTCACTCATCCAGCCTTCTTGTGCCGCCGCTCCAGCCGTGACGTCGCTCAGAGGCAGACCCAGGCTGAGCGAAGTAAATCTTTTTAAAAGCCACTCAGACCTTTGAGTCTCCAGCAGCACCACGCTGTGATTAAAATCACATTGCCACGCCACACCCCCGAGATCGGGCACTGCCTGCCATGCAACAGCTCCCGTCTCTCACAGTCTGGCTTTTCTCAACGCTTTCTCTTTTTTCCTTTTTTTTTTTTTTTTTTTTTTTCCTTTTGCCAAAACAAACAACGAACAGAGCTGCATTAATGCTAAAGAAGAAGTGAGGTGACAGGAGCCGGACTGCAGCACGTGTGCTCCAAGCAGCCTCCAGCCTCACGCGGCCGCCGCACAGCTCAGCCAGGAGAGGCCACCCCGGAGTTCGGCCAAAGTTACAACGCGTTACAACGTTAGAACAAAGTTCTAACATTTTATTCACTCAGGGATTTTACACCTCACAAAGTTAATTTCTTATTGATAACTGCAAGCAGAGTCAGTTTTGCCACCAACAAACACCTTAGGGAAATGAAAAACAAATAAAATTCTATTTGCCAGGAATGGAGGAAGTATCTATAAAAGCCAATCCTGCAGTCACCTCACCTTCAACAGAGAAGGAGCCTGATCCCACACCCAGCTACACGAGGCATTCCTCTGCTGCTCTTTAATCGTTTCAGTGTCTCAGTGCAGGAACCCAGTGCTCCAGCATGCAACTGCCCCATCCTGTCCAGGACCGCATGGGTTCCTGCTATATTTCCCTACAAGCACTGTACTGCGGCCTGGGCCAAGTCTTTCCTCATTGCAAAGAGGGAAAAAAAAAGGAAAAAAGAAAAGCTCTTGTCATGTGAAAACCCAGACATGCAGGCACACATTAACAGCAGAGGATCTGGGTTTAAGCCCTTCGCAGCTCACCCGTGGAGACAACAGAGGCTGCTGCAGGTGTGACTGGTTTATGGTGGCACTACTGCTGACACATAACAAAGCAAAGGTACCAAACGTAACTGCAAAACATTTCCCACAACAGAAGAAAACACACGAAAGCCTTGTCTGACCGGCCCCACCTGCCTCCATGCTTTCCGAAGTTGCATTTTTTTTAATTAGCTGGGTTCAAAAGTCCTGTACAAATGTAAGTGCTGGATCCGTCATGCTGGGCTACCAGTCAAAGTCACCAAACTATAATTGATCATCCGCCTTGTCATGAAATATTCATTTTCATTGTTATTTGCAAACTTGAGCATTCTAAAGGCTAAATGAATTCAATTATTATAGCAGGCTATGGTGATTTTGCTGAGAGAAAAAAATAAATAAAAAGCGGCACAGCTCTTGAAATAGCCTTTTTCCAGCAGATATTAAAAACTTCAGAAATTGTTGTAAGTCTCAGATATATTCTCGGCTTATTTGTGTTCCCTTGTAATTCATTATTGCCAGTTCTGATAAAACGTACGGTTTTCCCTGCTTGTGCTTAAGTTGCAAATCACATCACACTGTCATATTTTCACCAAGCGCAGATGACAAAAATGGCATTGTTTTTACTTTACTTAATTAAAAAAAGCCACAGCAAAATACCGAATGACAACAGAAAGCCTTTCCTACAAGTGATTAAATTAACGGTATTGCTTTGCTCTCACGACGAAAAAACCTAATTTCCTTCCCAATTATATGCTGATTTAATGATAAAACTGCAGAAAATTATTAAGATCTGGGGCAAAGGTGAGTACCTCTACCCTCTGAACAGCCAGCTGTGAAATAACGTGGGCACCTGCCTGCCTCAAGTGCACTCAGTTCTTATTAATTATTATCTGTGGATCCATGGTCGGTGGAATATTCTCCTTCAATACCTACTTATAATTGTGTTCATTGACTGTACCGAATCCATCATCTGCTTTTTTTTTTTTTTTTGAAGTTTCATTCACACCTTTTATAGAAATGTATTTACACCGGAACATTTTATATTGCTGTTTTGGATATTTTGACCTGCTCATGTTGTTTCTATTTTCTACATTTCCACTTCACTGCTTTCCCTTCAAATTAGCAAGTTAACTGATAAATATAAACACAGTAAGCTCAGCACTGCTCTCAGTGCACCATGTTGGGGATGGAGAGCTCTGTGGGTGCAGGGCGGGCACTGCGCAGTAACACCATGTCTTCCAGAGCCGTCCTACAGCCACGGCCTGAACTTTGCTGGCAGCTCCAGTGCCACCTGGAAGGGATGCCAGGCACGATTCAAATCACAAAAGATCACAAGGTTTAAACATGAGTTCTCATTGCTTGGGAGGAATTTGTTTATTTTTAACCAAACCGTCCAACTTGAGCCATATTATAAATTTACTTCTTAGGAGATTTTTTTGCATGTTATAATGTGTCTCTGCGTTATTTTGGAGTACACTGCATCTAACAGAAGAGAGGGGGGCAGTTGCAATGGGCTTATAGCTTGGAAGCTGCGCAGCCTCAGCACATGTAAATGAAGCCTGTGAAACGCAGCCAGCATCCAAGCTGCCCTTCTCAAAAGAAACCTTGTCTTCTGAAAAGTCCCCAAGCAGCTTCAGCAATGATCTTGCCCAGTGTTTTGACAACACAAAAGAATTGCACAAATGTCTTTTCTGGGGCAATATCTGAGTATGCACACACGATTTTGTTCCATAACAAACACACACAAAGAGAACCCAACTGTGGTTGGTAAAGTCTGTGGGTTCGTTGGACCCAGCCCATCCCAACAGACATTTAAATCATCCGTTGTCAGACACTCCTCAGTCATCGCATTTCCCTCTTTTCAGGTTACTCCATACTGAGCCTCAGCAGTTCCCACATTTTGCCTCCTCTTCAAGAGACAAAATTTCAAAAGTCCTGGCGAGCCTGAAAACTTAATCTCAGCACAAATCCCAAATCCTAATGTATGTTTTAAAAGGATTGGAAAGTATGGTTCCTGGCAACAACAAGGAAGAGAACTCAAGGACCAAAGTGTCCAAGCCCTCTGTTTTTTGGGTTTTTTTTGGTTTTTTTTTCCCAGATTCAATGCTCATTCAGCCTCTTTTTCTTACACCCATTTTCACCCTCTTTATTTTTTTGTCACTGTGGCTGTATATATATATATATATATATATTTTTTTTTTTTTTTAATTCCCTGCACTTTAGATAGCTCAAGGAAGCTTGCAGCCCCTGATTTTGAAATCCTAAACTGAGTTCTTCCATCATTGCACTGATCAGCTTTCTTCCTTTGCTTCCAGATCATGGTGTTTGATGATTTTCAGCAAAGCTGGCTCCTTTTCAGTGGAGTAAGGACAATCAAACTTGAATACACAAACAGTGTTGGCATTCAGCAAGCAGAGGTTTGCAATCAGTCCTCCCGCCAGTCAAACCCCTTTCACTAGACCCTCTACTCTCAAGTGTCCTTACAGCGCAAGATAAGCCAATGATGTATATAAAAGACCAAACTGCACTCCAAAGGAGTCTTAGTGTGAATGGTGTTCTATATAAAGTATATGTACCCTATTCATTTTTTATGAGAAATCTTCCTTCAGTGCATCTTTATTCTTATTTTTTTTCCACAGTTCTTCTGTGTTTGTTTTCCACTCTGTTCTCTCTGTTCCACTTCCATCCTATTTGTTTTTTGTTTTGTTTTGTTTTTAATTCTCAGCTTCTTTCCCTTGTTTACTCAGTCCATCCTACCCAGAATACACTCTCAGTAGTATAAACCAGCGTAAAAACTCCTTGAACTTCTGGGTTCATTGGTGCAGTAAGTTTACAATGGAACAAAGCAACTTTGCTACAGCAGTTAGCAACTGAGGTTTCTTTCTACAGAGGAACCACATCGGTGCTCTGCACCAGCTTTCAGAAAGACTCCAGAGACCTGAGAACGAATTGTGGCCAAGCTCTGGGTCGAGAGCTGCTGTTGGAGCAGCAGTACACTACGGAGTCCAAAATACCTTTCTCTGAACAGTAATGTGTTACCAGCATTATGTCAGTGGGGTGAATTTTGCCCCAGCTGCTTCCACGTACTAGAGGCTCAAATAAACAGTGCTGAATGCCAATGGAAATTACTTGCTTGTTCCCATGTGAATGGGACCTGACTGTGAATGTTCACTATCCATGCAAATCAGCTGATTATCAGTGCTAACCAGGATGGAGCACATACAGCTCTTTGCAACTCAGTACTTCTAAAATCTTCCAGGAGTGCCTAACTGAAGCAGGAGCACAGGTACTGACTGAAAGAGACCTTCTAAATCTCCTCATACCTCCCTGAGCATTTCCCTTTTCACAAGCATATTTCACTTCCACATTATTAAAACAAGAAAAGCAAAGCCACCCCAGTTGATTACATAAAAAATGCATTTATCACTTGTTTCCCCCAACATTCGGGGCATATGTTCTCCAGGACCCACATTTCCTATGATTTGCAGGAAACCCAGGTTGCCAGGCCTGTTAACAACAGCATGAACAATGTCTTTCACTCGGGTGTTACTGTTTCCCAGAGAGACTAATCTGTAAAAGAAAACCTACCTTTTAATTTATTACCCCTATAAGTTTGAGAAACAGAGCCACAGAAATACATCAGTTTCCTGGGTATGCTTTAGTGCAGTTGCAGGGCAGACACCCAGGCAAGCAAAGGAGACAGATTCCTTTTCTGCAGCTCCTTGTACACTGGTACTGACTTGTGCAGGCAGGACCACACCAAAATCACACACTGTTGCAGATCATTATCACCTCTCCTTTACACACCTCACTGCTGAGACTTCTTTGAAACAAGAGACATCATAAAGTTCTCTTTTGCCCCTTCCCCCCCCTTGCTTTCAAGGACCCAAAGCCCCACCTGCCTACCTGGGGTGCTTGCAGAGCTCTTCTGGGGCCAGGTAGTCTCCAGCTCCATCCACAAAGGGCAGAACTTGGGTATACTTAGAGAGACAGCTTAAATTTGTTAAGTCTCCGTAAGGTCCTGGAAAGCCCCACCTGGATTCTTCTTGTTACCACTATTACCATCCACCTAGCTCCTCTTCCTTGT